TTATTATGATCACAACATCACCTGTCATGTCATTATGATCACCTTATCTTTATTATACAATTTTGTATGTACAGACATTTGAGTAAAAGTGAAATTTTTGCACGCAAGCTGCGAAGGGGATATATATAATTATATAGACGCTACCCATTTTTCAAAAGAGAAGTCAAAAGAGAATGGAATGATAACGCAATGATTTGACCAGAACAGAACGGAATTAAAGATCACTTTTCCGCACACCCTAATTATTGTTGTGTATTTTGTAAGGGGGAAGACAACTGCAAGGGAGGGATAAAAAACCTCCTCCTCCCTTTACCTCATGTAATGTAATTGGCAAGTGAAAACAAGCCCACATAGTTGGGCCTAGCTATTTTCTATGTGTGTGATGGTGCTGCACATACTATGTTCTACGTTCTGTATCAAGTGATTCTAAATACGCATGAAGCACATGAAAAATCAAACTATATATAATATAGCCTTCGCTCGCCAAAAAATGCATTGCATTCCTCTAGTATTATTTCTGTAAGAGTGACTAGTTAGTTATTGCCGTGACCTTTCCGTTTGTCTCCTTCACAAAAACAGCAACGGAATCATCAACAATGCCATAATTATAATAACACAGACACACAGTAGTGGGTGTGTCAGAATTCAAATTCAAAGTAGCTCGAGTCAAAGTGTGTACTCTGACGTAGCCATCTTCTCCACCGCTGCTGTAGCTGGAGGGAGGGAGGGAGGGACAACAACAGCATTGACACATTGTACAAAGTTCTAATTGAAGCCACCTCTTTCCGTCAGGATGGAATTTCAGGGAATTATTGGTGAATTAGTCAAGTGACTGACCCCCGATCTCCTCCTCGTAGATCAAGTGGTAGAACATGGCGTCGAATTCCCGCCTGTGTCTGTCGCGGGTAATCCTACCCTAGCTCCTGTCCTCGCGCACCAACACACCGGTGAGTGACGCACGACTACTCATACACATGCATAACTAATCACATGGACAATCACATGACTGATCACATGACAACTGAACAGCACACACTTGTGTAAGAAAAAAGAAGAGAAAGAAGGTCTATAAGGGACCATTTCTTAGAACAGAACTACAAAGAGCTTTTCAGGACTGGTTGTTTCATACTGATACATTTTAGGGGACTGCACATGACTGTTCACATGACACTCACATGATCCTTGGTGGGGGAGAGATGGCGGCACTGTTGACGGGTCTCTCGGTCCTGTACGTCTTCAGAACCTCGAGATTCTCAGAGCCATGAGTTTGGCCGTGTTATCTTTGGAGGCGGTGACGATAATGATCTGGTCTGACGAGGGCGGCTGCAGGTCTGATATGAGGGCCTTGTGCCCTCACCGACTGAGACAGTGTCCTGACTGGCAAGAGGGAGAGAGAGAGAGAGAGAGGGAGGGAGAGAGAGAGGGAGAGAGAGAGTTGAAATACAGAATACACTGAAACCTCTGAAAGGGACGCCTTGGGGACGACATCAATGTGCCTTTATTCAGGGTGCTCTCGCCCCGAACCTCAAGAAATTTATCAAAATGTCAGTCGCTAGTCCGCTAATAAGGAAGTAAGTGAGTGTGGTGCCTAACTTCGTATTATGTATAATGTAAACTCCTATATACCTAATTGCACAATGAATTTTAAAAGAGAACTTTGTGTGTATGTATATAGGCTTACTCTGGTGACGTCATAGCGACATATGCACGTTCTCCATGGCCGTGATGAGGAATTCATCAAACGGCCCCACACGGCTGCCGAGATCCTCGAACCTTCATGGAATGACCCTGCGCACGAGAGGGAGGCATTGGTATGCATAACATTCATTTATGGGTTGTCTGTGTCACGTGGACTATCACAGGACCTCACGGGACCATTATGCAGATAATCGGCAACTGATGAAAAGGATCGTTTCGAGTACGCCACTCGTGTGTGTATTGCTTAACGCAGTCCCGAACTGAATAGTCACGTACGAACTTACCTCGACTTACCCCGGGCAGAGCCGAGAATTTGGCAAGACGAGCGAAAAGGCACATTAGCACTTGGCACTCGTAATGCACACAAGCAGGACACCGCAGCGTGCATTATGCCAAGATACCATGGCTGCATAGATAACGACTTCTGCATGCAGACACATAAGAAACGGCACACTCTATTTGCCCTGAGAGTTACACGGTCCATTGCCTTCTTCCGTCGCCAAACAAAAGACGAAGAAAGAGTGTCTCACCTAACGGAGCCGCGAGGTCCCGACGTCGTAGCGATCATCTCACACAGCCCGCTGCCCATGGTGGCGTCAGTGAGTATAGACAACAGTTACTGGAGTACGCGAGCATGCAAGACCGTACGGCGAGACCGGTTTCAACTCGCTCAGCGTGTGCCCGTCTCGCAGTCCCACAGCGAGTGGAGTGTCTGCCGAGGCCCGTGAGGACCGCGACTTGTGTCGCACTGTAACAGGGGTCGTCGTCAGGGAAACAAACCCCATTTCTCGAATAAAACCAACAGTTAATACTACCTGATTCCCCTTCAACTTCGCACCTAAAATACTGAGATTTAAAAGTGTTTCGCACAAAATACCACCGAACACCCTTCAACTTTCACCTAAAATTCTCAGAGGTAAATAAGAGTGTCAGTAAATGGTCGTAAGGATACGGTTGACATCATGCACCATATTGCTCCATGTGGCCATTGAAGGTCCCCAGCCTCTCTCCGTACTGGAATACCAGACTGTCGGTTTGCTGTCTTTGGCAACGAGAACAAGAGATCCCCTTCAGTTTGTATCTGATTGAGAGTGAGAGGGAAGAGAGAGAGATAGTAATCATCGCTAGGTGACTCTACCAGCACTGGCATTACCATGTGCTCGTACAAACAACGGTTGAGTGGGGAACATAATGTGCGAGGCTGTTCATAGTGGATTGTCGTACAATTCAATTTTAATAAACAGGCCAGACTCGAGGGTTGTAATTGTATAGCTATATACCTGATCTGCGTGATGGCTCGTTCGTGACCGTGTAGCATTAGCGGCTCTGGAGGGACGAATGTACATACGCAGCTAGACTCTTACATGGTATATACACTAGTCGAGTTCATACCATCTTCAATGAGGCGGCTGCTGCGCTGAGCTGGAACATTTGAGTAGGCAAGTGCATGCACAGCAGCGCGCACAGTGGTGGGACGCGCGTTATTTAGAAAGCATCGCATTTATAGGCTCAGCCACGGTGCATTTTTCGAGGGTGAATGAACCATGAAATACCTGCAGATAGTATTACACCAATTGGTGCACATATATGAGAACTGGCAACACATATTACCAAAGAGAGCTTGACATATACAGAGATTGTGTGTGTGGTGAATAATGATAATCTACACACTAAGGGCGCCCCTGTTTCTTAGCTTCGCTAGATAACTCCGAGTGTCTGCTCTCCGTTGCCGTGGCAACGATCCCGTCCGAATTCTTGGATTCCCCGCGAGACCGTAGTCGATCTCTCGACCGTTTCTCGTTGTCATGCGGCCACCCAGGGTTCGGAGTACGGCGTCTCCAGCACAGATGTCCCATTTCTTATGGCGGTGGTGTGGAGATAGAGATCGGCCTTTCCCTCGGCTACCTGCACAGAGGGGTGACAATCAGACAACAATAGTAGTGGACTTTACGAAACTGGCCACAAAGTTCATAAAACCTGCCACACTAGAATTGTGGACAGGTTAAAGGTAAAGTGGCAGTATAAGTATAACAGTACAGCTGCCTTGGCTTCCCTCATAACAACTTGTGCAGCACTGCAGGGAAGGGCTATAGCCTGCTATTTTCTAAGGGCTAAATGCAGAGATGTTACTAGTGCAAGAATGCAATTAAGTTCCATTTTTAGTAACATTCCTAAATTTTAGCCCTTACGTACTGCAGCATTCCTCTTTAATAAACCGACGACACACGACACACACCTGAAGTGCCTTGTACCCCAGCTCCAGCGGCGACGATTTCTCAACTTTCCCAAAGCAGTCTGAGCCACGGCAAAGACGTCTCCCGCGTGGGACCGCGAGGCAATCACCTTCACCGATCCGTCGTGTTGGCTCCCTTTCCGACACTATATCTCTCTGGAGGGTCTTGGGACACCCGTGACCAACCCACGCCCATTTTGTCACACCCGCTATTCCTGCAACAAGACACACACACACATCATCTCTTCATTTCATAGACCATCCTCCAAGAGCGCTGGGAAGAGGAAGTTCAATATATTTCGCCCTATATCTTTCTCCTCATTCCATCTATCTAATCTCCTTATCTGTCTAACTTTAGGCTGCCCATTAAATCGTGATGTTCATACATCAAAATTTTGCACACTGTACAAAATTTTGTCGTGTTCCGTATTCAAAGACACCTACATACGTAAACATATTGGTTTTGGATAAAAAGTGGAACAGAACCGGACTAACCAGTTCTGGGGTCCTCCGTGTAAGGCTCGTGTATGACGCCGGCAATGGGTTTTCCTTCCACTGCGACACAGATCATGACAGTCACGTACTTCAGTAGTTCGGGGTCCTTCACTCCTTCAGTGTACTCTTGAGTGGCGTCTAGAGGGTCGATCCACACCGCCACCTACATAGGTAACATGCACAAGAGGGGAAGAAAGTAGCGCATGTATATATGTATATATGTATTGTGTATATTATACATACACTCACAGGGAAAGTGTAATTCAAGGACAAGAGAGAAAATTAACTATGTAGGTAGAGGTTCTGTGTTTTGCGGTGTGAGTAAACAAAGCGCAAGTGAACATATTCAACTGCATCAAAGACAGAATGTTTTAAAGTTCAATGGTAGTATTGCTGTACTCTCTAAACCACTGAGCTACCAGAGCAGTAGTAAGGGCAAAAGTAAACCCCACACTCAGCGCTACGCGGATCTATAAATAACTCCAAACCTGGTCCATAGCAACAGCCTCGTCTCTCCTCACAATAGACAAAATCTCGGGGTCAACCAGGTCGACCTTGACACGCGACACACCCACTGCGTGATCATTCTCCTCCGACCGAAACTGCAGACGAGGCCAGAGCCTTCGGAACCCCGAGGATATTACCTCGTGCGACAACTGGTCGCCCAGAGTTACGTATTCGTCTCGCCCCTCTTTCGTAAGTCCCTTGGTCAACTGGCCTATCTGCTTGTCGTCCATTTTTCGGATCTCCACGATTTTATCCCCGCCCGCCTCGGCGAGTTGGACGGCGGCCGCGAGGAGCTCGGAGATTTTGATGGTCTCGTCCACGTAGCGGTTTGGACCCCCGCGGCCTCTTGAGAGGAGGAAGAGGAGAACAAGAAGAGCTACGGCTAGCAGCACAACGAGCCCGACTCTGTTGTTGAAGCGCAAGCTAGTCTGTTTAGCCATCTCTCCCTCTCTTTTGCTCCTGGAGTATAAATCAAGAAGCGAAGTTGCCAGGTTGAAAGAAGAAACGACAGAAAACTACCAGAGCGATGTATGAAGGTGCGCGTTAATAAGACGTTACGCATGCGCAGGGAGTCCTGAAATAGTGCGCATGCGCTCAGAAGAAGGTTCGAAAGGTCAAATTTGAATTTCAACTGCGTTTTTTCTGCAAGAGGTTAGGAGGTAGAAGATGGCGACTAACTCGCGCATCAACAGCCACAAGAGCAAGTCTGGCTCCCGTGGCGGAGGGCTAGGGACTCGAGAGGCCCGCGCCAGAGTCAAGGCCGCCGAGAGCAAATCCGCACGTGACGCCCTTCTTCTGGAGAGACGGCGAATACCGCTCAGTGAAATACAGGAGCAGCCGAAGAAAAGAGGTGAGGGCTAAAACCTGAAATACGGTGTAGAATGGCGCACCCGCTGCTACTGTGTACGTGCGTCGGTGTTTTTGGCGCGCATTTTTGTTTTTGTTTTGGCGCCTTTTGTGATTTTTCAGTTCCCATTATCCTTTCATTATTGTGAATCTTTATTTTTTTGACTCCTACTCCTATCCTATCCCCCTTTGAGCTCAATTTCTATTTTACCTGGTATGTTGAGACTAAACCGCTTGTACTGTATTTTATCTCCTTTTACTCCCCTCTTCTCATCTCTCCTCCCCCTTCCCATCCCCACACACACACACACACACACACACACACACACACACACCAGACGAGGGATCCGAGCTGCGACTGCAGCGGCTCCGAGAGTGGAAGGTCAGACGAGCCGAGGCAAGGGAGAAAGAAAAGGCAGCGAAGAAGAAACCGTTTTACGGAGGAAAACTAGTAGTTACCACCACTGCCGCAGTCTCCAAGGTAGGCAGTAGATAAATTTGTAAGTTGTGGTAACTGAAAGCAGCTGCATGGATTAACAACAAGTGAAATTGACAGTGTTTTAACGTATTTCTGTGAGTTTGCACTTTTTCTTTCGTTGTTCTCAGCCTCGCTCGGGGGCAGCGAACATCGGAAGAGCGGGGAAATCAAACGCCAAAAATACCGCAGCGGTTTCAGCAACTGATCGGGCAACGGAGAAACCTGGCACCACAAGAAAACGACCCGTTGGCTTAGAGACGGCGGCAAAACCCGAAGCTAGCGGGGAAAGTGGCACTGTTTCTGGCGAACAAACTGAGTCAAACGATACGGCTTTGGTCACGAGCGACGACACTCAACCAAAGACAACCGCACCAAAGGCGAAAGAACGAAAGGCAAAAGGGGGGAAGAAAGCTGCAACAAACGCCGCTAAACCGCCGAGACCACCTCCCCAGATCTCCGCAGCAGCGCGAGCTTCCAAGAGATTAGCATCCGAGAATCAGCCGGCGAATGATGCGGGAGCCTCTCGTAAACACGATGGCAGCTCCGTCAAATCGAAAGCGAAACTTGAGCCTCCGAAACCATCTGCAGGGAGAGGAGGGAAGGAAGTAAAGACTGGTGAAGGGGGGAAGGTAGGGAGAGTCACCCGTAGCACTACTGCCAATGCTGCCCCTGCGTCTGGACGAGGTGGTGCCGCCGTGAGGGAGGTAGGGGTTAAAAAGACTGGGAAAGTCGGGAAGAAAAGGGTTAACACCGCCGAGTCGTCTGGTCTTGCGACAACGGGGAAAAAGAGGGTTAAATGTGACTCGACGCCGGTCCACACCAAACTGAGCTTTTCAGACAGTTCATCCGAGTTCAGTTCAACTTTTCCTCTTTCAATGAACACCACTACTAGCACTATCGACCCTGTACCCGACTGTGCCTGGGTCGTACCGCGGCATGTTTCAAATCGCCCGAATCCTCACCTTGCGTTGTCCGCTCTTCAAAACATCGACGATATCTTGGGTCCGTGTGCCTTCAGCCCCTTCAAGTTCACGGCCCGACAAGCCACTCCGGGCAACGCTAGTCAATCGAAAAAACGGCGGGAAACTCCCGGGGAAAAGTTTGCTTTCAGTTTCCGAATGACGACCGATCGAAACCCGTTTTCTCTGCCGGCGGAGACGACGTGCAGTGATAGAGCTGCACAGAGTAGCGACGTCACGTTGGACACAATATCTGTTGACTCGTTGGATTGCAACGATGCTCCTAAACGAAGAGACAGTAAGAAGGCCGCGGAGAGTGCGATGTGTGCATCTGAAGCTGTTAATACCGAGACAGCCGGAGAGGAAGCGAGGTACGGAACAGCGGGGGAAAGAGATGGCGGCGTTGGGGGAGAGATGACGGGCGAAGAGAGTTTGGAGGAGGGTGTCCATGTGGGGTGGGAGGGTCAAAGGTCACTGGGGGTGGAGGCATGGTGTGGGGGTGTGTTCTAGTGTCTTGGGAAGAGAGGAGGAGGAAGAGAGGGTGTCCAAAATGGAGACCCTATCACTTCTGAGGGCACTGGTAAGCCTTTTGTCGTGTTTTGTCTCTTTCTTTTTATCCTTGTTATTCCCCTTACATATTACACATCACGTCTTTATTTCGCCACATTTCCTCGTCTCTCTCTCGTCTCTCCTCTCTCTCGCCTCTCTCTCTCTCTTCTCCTCTTTCTCCTCTCTCTCTCTCCTCTCTCCTCTCATCTTTTTCACCTTCTTTTCCTCCATCTCTCTGTTCTCCCCCACAACACACACAGCCGGTGGTGGTACAGACTTTGTCTATTTCCATCGTCTCCACGACGACGTCGAGACCCACCTGGCGACCCAGTGTGTCCGTGGAAGAAAGACGATCTCTAGAAGCTCTCATTCAGGAGGAGACTCAGAGCCAGGAAGATGCAGCTCATCTGGTTGAAGTCTGTCTAACTCTCTCTGCACCTATATAGTCAAATCAAGAATTTAAGAAAATAACGAACATATGTTTTTCTGCACTGAGCTTCTTTTAGTCCCATATTTAGCTCTCATGTATATACGTATACTGCACATCCCCTTAATATCGTCTGATGAAAGAGAGAGAAGCACCTTCTCTTCCCCAAGAACATTCGTGCATGCATTACCCCTGAAATGGGGACCCCTCCTAAAAGGATATCTTTCTCTCCCCAAAAAACCTGTTCTCTGTACATGCAATTTAGCACCCCTTACTCTGGCGTCGCCATATGTAATACCCACAGACCACTTGGGATGGGATCCGTGTGACTGTGGGTCAGCCGAGCTGCTGATGAGGAAAGATGAAGCAGTACCTGGACTGGTGACTGAGCCGAGGACATGACTGACGGCGGAAACACCACCGCTCGAGACCTGCAGGTCTGTGCCTTACTTCTTTTGGGGTGTGTTTGGGAGGCAGCATTGAATTGACTGAATATTGTACGTTACAAGAAGAACGAAGCGCCAAGTTTAGTTCTGGTTGACTTTAAGAACGGCATTGGGCAGGTTCTGGTGGCTGTGTATTGTCTGGGGGGAATTTCCCAGAAAACCGTCTGAGAGTGAACTGAGTCGTGTTTTTTTGGTCATCAAGGATCGCAATATATGTACAGTGTCTCATAGGCAATCTACAGTGTGTGGCATGGATAGCTTCACTCGGTTAAATACGACCTCATATTGTGTAGTGCTATGGATGGTGATTGGTCTCCATGATATATATGTATGTACACACACAGGGATCTGGGACTCTGGTGTCAATTCGCAGGTGGACGATATGATCAGAAATATCAAATTCTCGAGAATTGGAGTGCACGACTGGAAAACAGCAGCACCAGTCAGCCGACGATGAACAAGAAGAGGGGAAAGGTATGTTAATAGCCTACATGGCCGCACAGAGACACTAATTCTCCCACTGTTACATAACACTTCCCCTCATCCCAAAAACACTGCTCCAGAACCGACTGGACAATAATGTGTGTCTACTAGTCATGTGTTAAGTCAATAGCAGAAAAAGTTGTTAGATTTCTACCAATATAGTCCATCTGCTAAGAATTTTGCGCTTATTTCTAGACTCCATTTCTCTCCTCCATAGAAGAGGCCGTCCAAGACGGGCTCGTTGGCTAAGACAGGTGGCGAGCTGTCAGAGAGACAAGCGGCTGCCAGGGAGAGACGTAGCGCCATGAGGTCTCGACTAAAGGAGATGAAGATGGCGGCCATGGCCAACAAAACTGCCAGCAGCGAGGAGGGAGAGAGGGAGGGAGACGGCCACTCTGGGACACCGACTGACGGACTGGTGGTGAGTAGATGCACCTTGAACCCTCCGAAACGGGAACCCCGGAGTTTGTGCCTGGCCTCTGGGCATGCTCAGACTAACTTGACTTTTGACAGAAAGTATTATACACCGTGTTGTGTGGCAATAACTATTCGGATCACACTGATATGTCAGAAATTCGATCTGGTGAGAAATTAAAACTGAAACGTATGTGCAAATATCAAACGTACTACTATAATATACACCATTTGGTGCATGCAAAGTACAACTTGGCGTGTATTAAAACACACATGCTAATATAATACTGTGCTTAATCTCTCCTTATGTATAGGTGACCGGTGCTGCTAGTGATCCACCAAAACAGGCCACCCCTCCACCTCAAGAGAGTGACACCAGCTGTAGCAGTGGTAAGAGGAAGAGCACGGGGGGAAAGAGGAGGAGGAGTAGGAGGTGTGGGCAGAGGTCGTCTTTCGCTCTCATTGACTTTTCCGAGGATCCCATTCCTGCTGAGGTGAGTCTGGCCAACGCTTGCCCCAGCCTTCAGAGGGTGCCGGGACGCACGGTGAAGGCACGCATTTGTGATTCACTGCCCACGCAGCCGATAAGAGAACGGAGCTAGCTGGCTTGACTACAGCTAATGTGTGTATACTTTCAATTGCTTGCAAGAACTTTCTAGTGAACCAATGTGGCTTTTAGCTTCGAAGTCCGGATTATGTATGTAAGTATATTGAACTCAACCCTCTTATTCCACTGTATTATTGTCTTTCCTTTTTAACCCTTAGCAAGCCACGGGCATATTATGTGCCCAGAGCCTCCGTAAGTCCGTAAGAATTTGTATATGGGTGTAATACTATGTTACGGGATACCCATGGCATCCAAAGGGTTTTAATTCACCCATTCTCCTCCCCTTCATCTCCTCCTCTCTCAGCCACAGACACCTCCCTCCCCACCCTCTCCCTCAGTCACTAATCCTTCCATCTTCTCTCCCACTGACACCTCCTCCGACACCAAACCAAGTACAGAGGTCCCTATTGCTGACCTCCTTAGCTTCACTGCACAACAACAACAATGTGGTAAGACAAGTCACGTCATTAAGTTAACCCTTTGGATGCCATGGGTATCTCCTTTAATAAGAAGTAATTGATGTATAACACATTAACACCTAGTATTATGGCCATAATATATAAATTCTTATGGACTTATGGAGGCTCTGGGCATATTATATGCCTGTGGCTTGCTAAGGGTGCAATCCCCTTGATTGGTAGGTAACTGAAAAGTTTTACAACACTTTGAAACTGTGGAGAAAATTCACACTTTTGCAGAATATTGAATATAATAATTATAGTCTCATTGTGATTAACCCTTAGGAAGCCACGGGCATATTATTTTTTTTTTATGCCCAGAGCCTCCATAAGTCCATAGTAATATACAGCTATAATACTAGGCATTAATATGTTATACATCAATTCTGCTTATGGAGGTACCCATGGTGGCCAAAGGGTTAATTAAATAGGGTGTATCCCAGTGGCTGTTGTAAGGGGTTAGTTACTTAACTCCCTCCCTCCACAGTCAAACTCCCATCTCTGAAGACCCCACTCAATTGGCCACCAAAAGGGAACACTCCCGTCATCGATCAACACACCACCACCGCTCCTCAGGAGGGAGCCTCTGTCGTTCAGTTTGTCTCTGTCACTCCCTCCAAGAGAGTCAGGTATAATTAGCAGCTCTATTAACACTTAACCAGTCACAGACACATAAATACTATTTACTTCTCCCAGGGAGAGGATGGAAGCTGATGTCATCATGTCGCCAGCGAGGAGGTCCCTGAGATTAGCCGGGAAATGTGGCACAGGTGGACCTGGTAGTCATGGCAACTATCAGGTCTCATCACTGAATGAGCTACCTGAGGGACTGGAAGTCAAGTACCTTCCTAATAAGGCCCTTTTCTAATCTTGACACTCTTAAAAGCTGTTTGCTTTGTTCATCATCCATAATGTACATATCACACATTATAGCTGCTCTTATCCTGTTATTGTAGTGTATGTCCACTAAACCGGCGTATTGAAGAGAATGTGATAATTAACTCTCTTTACTCCAAGCAGCTCGCTATGCTGCTGTTAGAGCTGGGTAATTTGCGCTATTGAAAATATCGACTCCACGCAATAATGGCGAATCTTAAGCAGATCCCCATGGCGTCCAAAGGGTTATTAACTAGGAATGCGCACGCGCATAATTATTTTGCCTCGCGCCAATCCCGATTGAGGCCGCTCGTGCGCGCGCTCTATATATACTAACTGCGCGCGAAGCCAGACTTCCTGGCCTACGAACTGACTGCGCTACGGCGGAAGCTAGACTTCCTACGAATGACGGAAGTTACAATTCCTTTTAGTGACTAATTTACATTCCTAAGCGTGGCTAATTTACGACGTGCGTAATACAATCAGGGTATGCCTCGCAGCATGGGGATCATCCATACATTGAGCCTTCCATACCTTGCTTTCTCTTCATCTCTCTTCTTTCCCCTCTTCATTCAGCCTCAGCTCCATCATGCCAGAACTCAGTCAAAGAGATGCATTGTCAAGATTCAGAGAGGCTTGTTTTGTTAGCATGGGAAGTTAGCCTACCTTGTTATCTGAAATGCACACACTTCTTTATGTGTATGTTTAGTATCCAATCTTGTTATCTGAAATGCACACACTTCTTTATGTGATGTTTAGTATCCAATCTTGTTATCTGAAATGCACACACTTCTTATGTGTATGTTTAGTATCCAATCTTGTTATCTGAAATGCACACACTTCTTTATGTGTATGTTTAGTATCCAATCTTGTTATCTGAAATGCACACACTTCTCACTTCAGAAACCACCCTCTCCCTCTATCACTAATCCTTCCACCTTCTCTCCCACTGACACCTCCTAGACACCAAACCAAGTACAGAGGTCCCTATTGCTGACCTCCTTAGCTTCACTGCACAACAACAACAACAATGTGGTAAGACAAGACACGTCATTAAACCCTTTGGGATGCCATGGGTATCTCCTTTAATTATAACATGTTAACACCTAGTATTATAGCCATATATAAATTCTTATGGACTTACTTATGGAGGCTCTGGGCATATTATATGCCCGTGGCTTGCTAAGGGTTAATTACTGTGCAATACCCTTGATTAGTGGGTAACCGAAAAGTTTTAAACTGCGGGAAAAATTCACACTTTTGCAGAATAGAATATAATTATAGTCTCATTGTAACTTATACGATTAACCCTTAGCAAGCCACGGGCATATTATATTATGTTTTTATGCCCAGAGCATCCATAAGTCCATAAGAATTTATATAATTATTATATATACAGCTATAATACTAATTTTTAGGCGTTAACATGTTATACATCAATTCTGCTTATTTAAGGAGATACCCATGGTGGCCAAAGGTTTAAATAGGATGTATCCCAGTGGCTGTTGAAAGGGGTTAGTTACTTAACTCCCTTCCTCCGCAGTCAAACTCCCATCTCTGAAGACCTCACTCAATTGGCCTCCCATCATCAATCAACACACTACCACCGCTCCTCAGGATGGAGCCTCTGTCGTTCAGTTTGTATCTGTCACTCCCTCCAAGAGAGTCAGGTATAAATTCTTATATAGCAGCTCTATTAAATTACAAGTTGTGATTGTTAAAATTGCTGAGGTTTCCTTATAATTAGCAGCTAAAAAGCATTAGCTAGATACCAACGGGTTTTTAAATAATAATACACGAAAGTGTAAGTTAGGAATCCACTAGTGTTCGACTCCCGCATGCTATTTACACTGTAGCTAGTCTGTGTCAGACTCTCCGCGAGCTACTAGCGTGGATACCACGAGTAAACGCATACTAAAAGCCCAGCCCATCAATTAGTGGTACCGCGCGTGCGCAGTTCGCCGAGGGTTTGCACTTCAGTGCTTTTCATTTCTTCTTAGCAGCAAGCTACGCTGCAGGTATAATTAATATTTGCTTCTTAGCAGCTTGCTACAGTGCCGGTATAATTATTATATTTGCTTCTTAGCAGCTTGCTACAGTGCCGGTATAATTATTATATTTGCTTCTTAGCAGCTTGCTACGGTGCCGGTATAATCAGATTCATTTATATTGTTGCTTCTTAGCAGCTTGCTACGCTGCCGGTATAATTAATATTGTTGCTTCCTAGCAGCTTGTTACGCTGCCGGTATAATTAGCTTCCGGAAGCACTCTATATAATTATAACACAAGTAGCCACGTGCACTCTAAAACAAGTGTAGGCTATATTGTTGCTTTGTAGTATCACTAGCAGCTTGCTACGCTGCCTGTATAATTGTTTCTTAGCAGCTTGCTACGCTGCCGGTATAATTAGCTTCCGGTATAATTAGCTTCCGGAAGCACTCTAAAACTCAAGTAGCCACGTGCACTCTAAAAAACTAGTGCTCTTTTGTATATAGTATATAGTATATAGCCATAGCTTCCTGTATAATTAGCTTCCGGTATAATTAACTTCCAGTAAAATTAGCTTCCGGTAAAATTAATATGGGTAGCACTGGTAGTCTATATTGACACTTGCTTCCTTAAGTCTTCAAAGGCATGCAAGCTACTATACATTTCAAATGCAATCGCGCATGCGCAATCCGCGAATCACGCGACAGCTTCGTTCGCGCGCCTATAAATTAAAAAGGAGTTCGTCCACACACCATAACACTCCTCTTCTCCGCCACGGAACCATTTTTTCAACATTTGCTACCAATCTACAGATTTAAGCCACCAAAAATGGCGGTGTTGTACCCGTGGAACTCACAGCAATACCTGAATTCAAAGCAAGCAGGGCATTGTAAGTCTTACGATGATCCCCACGATGAAAGACGACGATGTCGCGGGCGTGGGGTTCGTACTGATAAAGTATACTTGGCAGGGGCCTGTCTTGTTGCTTCAGGCATTTTCCCTCACCTCCATGGAAATCGTCCCAGGATTTCAAGACGGTATAACGAGTATCTGAACGAAATGCGAAAAGGGTCGTTTTTGGGGAATCCTCACCTTATCCGTTATCTGCTCCCTCACAGTTCCCACCCTTTCCTTCGCAGCCTTCTTTTCATGAGGTAGAACGAGGAGGGGGAAAACTCGAGCACTAGCGAGATCCTGAAAAAAAAATCTCCTTCTATTATTGGGATTCTGACACGCTTTTGCGTGGGGGGGCTGGTGCCATTCCCGCTCCCCTCTTCTGCTTTTGTTTATTTTTCCTTCTTACCATCCACCGCAAGTGTGCGGAAGCAGCAGAATAGAATCCCTTTTCTTCCTCAGGGACGGACCAGGAGAAAATGTGGACTGCCTGCCAGTACTTTTCAGGCTTCGCGAAGGACATGGAAGGGAAAGTGAAGGAAGCTGAAGATGCGCTACGTGAAGCTAGCAACATACTAGAGGGAGCGCAAAACGAATTGCTGTCGATTGTGAATACCCTGAAGCGAGTCCAGGATCAATTCGTACGAGAAAAACAAGCGGCGCAAGCAAGTGCGCGGGCAGCAGCGTACGGCGGAGCTGCAGCGGGACTGATTTTTGGACCGATCGGCCTCATAATCTCATACAGCATTGCAGCCGGCGTAACGGAGGGTCTCACCATCCCAGACATCGAGGCGGACTTTGCGAAGCAGCGACAAACCATCAGCGGGTACATTGAAGGCTTCAAGAAAATGTCGAAGGAGACGAATGAACTTCAAGAACAACTGGACGCTAAACGAAAGCAATTGATCGACATTCACGGCAAGCTCAGCACGACGGGGAGCCTGGCGGGAACTGACATTAAGTTAATGTCCATAAAGCACTTCAACCTCGTTCGCAAGAACGCTGAAGCGCTCGTGCGGGCGTGCGAAAGGTTCCTCGCTAACACTTGAATTCTGGGCTATATTATACTCCGAATCTGCACAATTGAACTGGTTTTTCATTGAATTATAGAATTTTAGTTTAGAAGTTTAGCTATTGCTGTTATGTTATACGAGATTCTGTTAGCGGACCCCTGCTGCGCGAATGTTTTTGCGCATGCGCATGCGCTGAACACACGTGTCTTGCTGTATAACAAGAAGTTCAAGTGCCTCGGCAAAATGCATAATCATCAATGCATTAGTAGGTGATGAGTTGACAGGTTTTCACTTTCGGAACGGCTGTCCTTTCGTTCCTTTTGGTCCTTCCTTGAACCTCAGACTTCTCCTACCTGTACCAGTGTCTTAGTAGGTGTGTGTATGTATGGGAGGGAAGGAAAGAGAAACACATTATGAGGCTGTGTGATGTACCAATGGGTAAGGTTCTCGGTGGACTGCAAGTCAGCTATATCAACCATCATTCTTGCTGCACATGTGCATTACGCATGCTACAAGGGTGGTTGAGACAGTGTGCAAGTCTATGGATCATGTGGGACATTGGGATAAGGGTATATAGTAACATTACATACACATTAAGAAGTGTGTGCATTTCAGATAACAAGATTGGATACTAAACATACACATTAAGAAGTGCCTATTGGATACTAAAAATACTAAACATACACATTAAAGAAGTGTGTGCATTTCAGATAACAAGATTGGATACTAAACATACACATTAAGAAGTGTGTGCATTTCAGATAACAAGGTAGGCTCTCTTCCCATGCTAACAAACCTCTCTGAATCAACAATGCCTCTCTTTGACTGAGTTCTGGGACCACCACTTGATGATGGGGCTGAGGCTGAATAAAGAGGGGAAAGAAGGGAGATGAAGAGAAAGCCAGGTATGGAAGGCCAATGTATGGATATGGTGGACCCCCATGCTTTAAGTTTTAACCCTTTGGACGCCATGGGCATCTGCTTAATAAGCAGAAATGGATGTATAGTGTATTATCGCCTAGTATTATAAACAAGATTGGATACTAAACACACACATTAAAGAAGTGTGTGCATTTCAGATAACAAGGTAGGCTAGCTTCCCATGCTAACAAACCTCTCTGAATCTTGACAATGCCTCTCTTTGACTGAGTTCTGGGACCACCACTTGATGATGGAGCTGAGGCTGAATGAAGAGGGGAAAGAAGAGAGATGAAGAGAAAGCAAGGTATGGAAGGCCAATGTATGGATATGGTGGATCCCCATGCTGTAATTTTAACCCTTTGGACGTCATGGGGATCTGCTTCAATTAGCAGAAATGGATGTATAGTGCATTAGCGCCTAGTATTATAAACCCCCATACAAATTCTTAGGGACCTATGGAGGCTCTGCTTGCATTGAAGTAGAGGGGGCCCGAGAACAAGTTGTGATTGTTAAAATTGCTGACATTTCCTTATATTACAAGTTAAAAAGGATTAGCTAGATATCAACGAGTTTTAAAAATAATAATAATACACGAAAGTGTAAGTTAGGAATCCACTAGTGTTCTCAGTGATTACACCGAAAGACGAAAGTTTTCTCTTCCAGCTATAATATTATAGTAATAATGTTTTAGAATGCACGTGGCTACTCGTGTTTTAGAGTGCTCCCGGAAGCTAATTATACCGGCAGCGTAGCAAGCTGCTAAGAAGCAACAATAATATTGATGAAGCTCATTATGCCGGCACAAACTGCTAGGGCTACTACAAAGCAACGTGTATGGCTACTTGTGTTTTAGAATGCTTCCGGAAGTTAATTATACCGGAAGCTAATTATACCAGCAGCGTAGCAAGCTGCTAATAAGTAATTATACCGGCAGCGTAGCAAGCTGCTAGGGCTATATACTACAAAGCAACAACTTGTGTTTTAGAGTGCTTCCGGAAGCTAATTATGCCGGCAGCGTAGCAAGCTGCTAAGAAGCAACAATATTAATTAAAACGGCAGCCTAGCAAGCTGCTAAGAAGCAATTACACCGGCAGCGTAGCAAGCTGCTAAGAACTGATTATACCGGCAGCGTAACAAGCTGCTAAGAAGCAGAAGTGTGTGCATTTCAGATAACACTAACATACACATAAAGAGTGTGGCATTCAGATAACATAATTGGATTCTAAACTACTCATTAAATAAGTGTGTATATATAACAAGGTAGGCTCTCTTCCCACACTATCAAATACTAAATGCTAACAAACCTCTCTGAATCTTGACAATGCATCTCTTTGACTGAGTTCTGGACCACCACTTGATGATGGAGCTGAGGCTGAATAAAGAGGGAAAGAAGAGAGATGAAGAGAAAGCAAGGTATGGAAGGCCAGTGTATGGATGTGGTTGATCCCCATGCTGTAATTTTAACCCTTTGGACGTCATGGGGATCTGCTTGAATAAGCAGAAATGGATGTATAGTGTATTAGCGCCTAGTATTATAAACCCCCATACAAATTCTTAGGGACCTATGGAGGCTCTGCATGCATTGAAGTAGAGGGGGGCGAGAACAAGTTGTGATTGTTAAAATTGCTAAGGTTTCCTTATATTACAAGTTAAAAAGGATTAGCTAGATATCAGCGAGTTCTAAAAATAATAATAATACACGAAAGTGTAAGTTAGGAATCCACTAGTGTTCTCAGTGATTACACCGAAAGACGAAGGTTTTCTCTTCCAGCTATAATAGGTTTTCTAAAACTTGTAATCTACCTTTTCTTGCCTGCTTCTCCCAGGGAGAGGATGGAAGTTGATGTCATCATGTCCCCAGCGAGGATGTCCCTGAGATTAGCGCCGGGAAATGTGGCACCGGTGGACCTGATAGTCATGGCAACTAGATAAAAGGTCTCATCACTGAATTTTGAGCAGGGGCATTTCGGCCACCCAGCACTCCTCCCCCTCATTAACGCTGGGGGCGGGGCTTCCTGCCCATGCACGACTGCCAAATAATACACCCCCCTGGAAGGGTGGCTTGCAGCTACCTGAGCGGCAAGTACCTTCCTAATATGGCCATTTTCTAATCTTGACACCCATTTAAACTGTTTGCTTTGTTCATCGTCCATAATGTACATATCACACCATTATTATTATTATTATCATTGTTGCACACACCAAATAAAGGTGCAAATTAAGAAGAAAAAGAATGAGATTAAGAGGAAATGTTAGAAATGTAATGTTCAAAAGGCAATGGGTACCATACATAATTATTATGACGATAGTATTTGTGAATCATAATCAGTGAAAAATTTGGTATGAGAGTTACCATACAAGCAATTATAACCAGTAGAAGAGTAGGCAAGGTTGAGTGAGTCAGAGATAATAAAGTTAACAAAAAAACACTCACTGTCGAGACAACGAGAGATGAACTTCGAGTAGCAATACATGACCAGAGCTCCGCATCTTTTTTCTCTTGGCATCACATGGTCTATTGTTACATGATAATAATTATTGTGTACATGAGAAATCCTTTCCGTACTAAGGACGTTTCTAGGGAGATGCCAAATTCTTCTCAGTATTATGTTTATATATTGCAACCTGAAGGCATCTTAGGGAGGTGGAGGACAGGAACAAAAAGAGTGCAACCATATAGAGAGAGACAGCACATTTTGTAGAGAAAAGTCAACACGAATGGATCTACATAACGAAAGGTGTACAGAACAAAGTTGGCCTTGCGGTTGCTCTGATGATGTCATCTTTATCACTGAGATGAAAATGGCCAAGGTGCAGGACTTTATTAGAAAGTTTAAGGAAAACTCCAATGTGGTCAACCGAGGAATGCCGGACATTCTTTCAGTTGAGTCTTTTCAGAATTAAATATCAGACCATGTGATGATGCTGCAAATTGATAGCATTTTGCGGAGAGCAGAGGCACAAGGAGCCAATAGAACAATATCATCTGCGAAACAAAAAACACCAGCAAACATCCATCGCCAACAACAACCAACACCAGAGAGAGACAACTCATTAAACAAACTATCCAAATATACAGCAAAGAGGAAAGGAGAAAGAACACCACTTTGACGAACCCCATTAGACACTTTGAAGCTTCTAGAGAGACAGTCATGATTCCACTGGACACTCATCCTCTGCATACTGTATATACCACTGTAGAAGAAAATTCAGGATTGCTGGTGGAAAACCTCTCTTCTCTAGTTTCTGAAAAAGAAGTCCGTACGTGATCTACTCTATCAAATACTTTGCTCGCATCCAAGAAGCAGCCTAAGACATTGGAACCATTATTTATATAACGAGAAACAACAGATTTCATGAGGGCTGAGCACAGAGTATAGAGTGTATTGCTGCTCTTATCCTGTTATGGACGTATTATTGTGTCATGAAGGGAATGTGATAATGATTAAACTGCATGCAATTACAAGCCTTCCTTAACAAATGGGCGCCGCGCGCCACTTTTAATTAGTGGCGCGGAATTACGTATGGGCGTGGAATTCGATTCCGCGCATGCATATTTCTGCGAAACACTAACTGGCGCGCAGTCTTTACTCGATCCAAGCAGCTTGCTACGTACGTAGTAGCCCTAGAAGTTTGCTATGTATATGCTGCTGGTATAATTAGCTTCATCGTTGATTAGTAGCAATCCTAGTAGCATGATACGCGGCCGGTGAGGTAGGTATCCGGGGCCACAACCTGGCTGGCTGTTGGTCCACGTCTCGCTATAGCTACTCAGACGGACGGACGATATATACACAAACATTGACTAAACGCTTTGGTATTGACCAGAGCCCAGGAGAGAGCGTTTAGAGGTGTGCGGCGCATGCGCACTCTCAACTAACAGAATCTTGCATACCATAACAGCAATAGCTAAACTTCTAAACTAAAATTATATACTCAATGAAAAACCAGTTCAGTTTTGTAGATTCGGAGTAGCCCAGAATTCAAGTGTTAGCGAGGAACCTTTCGCACGCCTCCACGAGCGCTGCAGCGAGCTTGCGAACGCGTTTGTAGTGCATCGTGGGCATTGCCCTCATATCAGTTGCCGCCATGACCTTCACCGTGCTGAGCTTGCCGTGAATGTCGCGCAATAGCTTTCGTTTAGCCTCCAGTTGTTCTTGAAGCTCTTTCGTCTCCTCCGCCATTTTCTTAAATCCTTCAATGTAACCGGTGATGGTTTGTCGCTGCTTCGCAAAGTCCGCCTCGATGTCTGGGATGGTGAGACCCTCCGTTACGCCGGCTGCAATGCTGTACGAGATTACGAGGCCGATCGGTCCAAGAATCAGTCCCGCTGCGGCGGAGCCGTACGCTATTGCCCGCGCACTTGCTTGCGCCGCTCGTTTTGCTTTTACGAATTGATCCTGGACTCGCTTCAGGGTATTCACGATCGACAGCAATTCGCTTTCCGCTCCTCGTAGTATGTTGCTTGCGTCACGTAGCGCTGTTTCAGCTTCCTTCACTTTCTCTTCCATGTCCTTCGCGAAGCCCGCAAAGTACTGGCAGGCAGCCCACATTTTCTCATGAGCCGCCTCGTCTTCCGACGGTTCGAGTACGCTAACCAACACGCTGCTTTGTTCCTTTATCACCGTCACCACTATACAGGCCTTGTCCAGACCCTCTTGCGCTTTGTCGTGAGCCTCGTTGAGCTTCTCCAAAATTGCCTTTTCGCTTTCGTCCAGATACTTGTTTACGTCTTTGAAACTCTGGACGATTCTAGAGAGTTGCTCGGCGTACTCTTTTAGTCCCAACGCCCGCGACATGTCTTCTTTCAGGGATTCGTAGACTTCCATGCCCTGCTTTAGCAATTCAGGCATTTCCATGGGTGAAACTACCGCCATTTTGGTGGCTGCAATCTGTAGATTGGTAGCAAATGTACTTCCGGAAGCTAATTATACCGGCAGCGTAGCAAGCTGCTACTGCTACTACTACAAAGCAACAATATTAATGAAACCGACAGCGTAGCAAGCTACTAAGAAGCGACAATAACAGCAGCATAGCAAACTGCTAGGGCTACTACATAGCAAGCTGCTGGGTGTAAAGAGTTGGAAGGCTTGTAAAATTAATCATTATCACATTCCTTCATGATACAATTTATTAATACGTCATTCCTGGCTAATCTCAGGGACTTCTCGCTGGCGACATGATGACATCAGCTTCCATTCTCTCCCAGGAGAGCCAGACAAGAAAAGATAACAATAGATTAGGTTTAGAAAACTTATTACTATCATATTATAACTGGAAGAGAAAACTTCGTCTTTCGGTGTAATCACTGAGAACACTAGTGGATTCCTAACTTACACTTTCGTGTATTATTATTATTTTTAAAACTCGTTGTATCTAGCTAATCTTTTTAACTGCTGATATAAGGAAACCTCAGCAATGTTGACAATTTCTCGGCCCCCCCCCCTCTACTTCAATGCCTGCTTAACACTTAACCAGCCATGGACACATGTGTCCAGAGCCTCCATAAGTCCTAAGAATTTGTATGGGGGTTGATAATACTAGGCGCTAATACACTATACATCAATTTAAACAGATCCCTATGGTGTCCAAAGGGTTAAAATTAAAGCATGGGGATCATCCATACATTTGCCTTCCATACCTTGCTTTCTCTTCATCTCTCTTCTTTCCCCTCTTTATTCAGCCTCAGCTCCATCATCGAGTGGTGGTCCCAGAACTCAGCCAAAGAGAGGCATTGTCAACATTCAGAGAGGTTTTTAGTGTGGGAAGAGAGCTACTTGTTATTGAAATGCACACACTACTTTAATGTGTATTTTTAGTATCCATTGACACTTCTTAATGTGTATGCATCTTGTTATCTGAAATGCACACACTTCTTTAATGTGTATTTATAGTATCCAATCAACACTTCTTAATGTGTATGTTTAGTATCCAATGTTGCTATAATACCCTTATCACAATGTCCCACATGATCCATAGACTTGCACACTGTCATGCAACTACTCTTGTAGCATGCGTAATGCACATGTGCAGCAAGGATGATGGTTGATATAGCTGACTTGCAGTCCACCGAGAACCTTACCCATTGGTACATCACACAGCCTCGTTTCTCTTTCCTTCCCTCCCATGTGAGAGTTTACTGTGCCATAGCACAGTGGTTGGAGGTTTGCCTTGTGTTGTGTTGTGTTGTAGATTCGAACCCCTACCAGCTGAGTTGCCCTGGTAGCTCAGTTTGTAGAGCGCTCGCCTAGACTGCAGAGTGTCGTGGGTTCGAATCCCACCTAGGGCAGCTCTTTATTTTTCCTTGGAAAAAAAGAGCTGTCCTAGGTGTAGTTGATTTGTTTGTTGTGCCTTTGCCTTTCTACCTCATAATTTTCACATACATACACACCTACCAGACACTGGAACAAGTATAATATACAGGAGAAGTCTGAGGTTCAAGAAAGGAACGAAAGGACAGTCGTTCCGAAAGTGAAAACCTGTCAACTCATCACCTACTAATGTAGTATTGATGATGCATTTTGTAGAGTGCCGCACATGCGCATGCGCACTCGCAAAAACATTGGCGCAGAAGAAAAGAATCTTGCATAACATAACAGCAATAGCTAAACTTCTAAACTAAAATTCTACAATTATATATACTCAATGAAAAACCAGTTCAGTTTTGTAGATTCGGAGTAGCCCAGAATTCAAGTGTTAGCGAGGAACCTTTCGCACGCCCGCACGAGCGCTTCAGCGTTCTTGCGAACGAGGTTGAAGTGCCTCGTGGGCATTGCCCTCATGTCAGTTCCCGCCAGGCTCCCCGTCGTGCTGAGCTTGCCGTGAATGTCGATCAATTGCTTTCGTTTAGCGTCCAGTTGTTC